TTGTTTAAAAAAAGTAAAAAAATTTTCACATGAAAAAATATCATTATCTCTTTTATATATTATTTATGGATTAATTTCTTATCTTTTCTTATATAGTGAAATTATTATAGTAATTTTTTTGTTTAACTTATAAATTTTAAATTTGATTATACAAATATGTTTACTAATAATATTTTTATTATTATTATTTTTTAGAGAAGCAGAAAATAGAAGAAGAAAAAAAAAAGAACGATCGAGTATAGTATTTTATTTGTTTGTTTGTTTGTTATATTTTATTTTATTATGTATAATAATATTAAATTAATTTTAATGTTGTATTAATCGATTCCTTTTAATTCTTATTATATATGTATTTTACTAATTTATTTACTTCGGAGTATAATATTCTAATATTTTATTGTTATTGTATATGTATTTTTTAAAATTATCTATTGTGTTATTTTTAATTTATACTAATATAAAATATTTTTTATTCTTATTGTGTATGTATTTACTATTTTATTTAGTTTCTAAGTATAATGTTCTAATACTCTATTATTATTGTATATGTAGTTTTTAAAATTATCTATTGTGTTATTCTTATTTTCTACTAATAAAATATTTTTCATTCTTATTAATTATTTATTTTTTCTAATTGATTTGATTTCAATTATTATATTATAGTATATTTTTTAATATTTTAGATTATGTTTAAATTGTAATTTTTTGATTTGAGAAAATATTTATAGAAACCATAAAGAAAATTATTGTAAATTTTAATATATATATATATATGTATATATAAATATTTTTAGTTATTACTTTTATTCTTATTGTCTATGTATTGTTTAATTATACATTGTGTTATTTTTATTTGTTACTAATCAAATTTTTATTCATTATTATTTGATTGATTTGGTTTTGAATATTATTTTAAAATATTTTTTTCCCTAATTTTGAAGATTATATTTAAATTTCGAGAATATTAGAGAAATTCATACAAAAAAATTAAGATAAATTTTAGTAATTTATAAAAATTACTATATTTTAATTTTAGTACTTTTATTTTTATTTTATATGCATTCTTTTATTTGTTTTTTCGTTATTTTATTTTTTAATAATCAATTCTTATTTATTCATATTCTATATGTATTTTTTTTAATTAATTTGGTTTAGAATATTACTATTTTAATACATTTTTTTTTGGTTGAAAATTGAAATTATATTCAAACTTCGAGTCTTTTATTTTTATCTAATACAATTTGTTAATAAATATTTTTAATCCAACTTATATTTGCCTTCACTTTTAAGTATGAATTTTGTAATTTATAATTTTTATTACTTAATACTCTGCAATATTTATTTTTACTTTTGTTAGTGTATTAATTTTTGTTTTTGTTTTTGTTTTTTTAATATCGATAGATATGAATTTATTTCAAAACTTATTGTAATGTTTTATTTACTAAAATTGTAAATAAATATTTTAAATCTAACTTAAGTTTGAATTTAAAATTATATATATTTTATTTGATTTATGATTTACTTAATATTATTTGTTTGCTTTTCTTTACTATATATATTATTTAGTATGTTGTTTGAAACATATTTTTAACTAAAGGCTAACAACCATATATAAATAACAAATGACGACAAACTTTTTTCAAATTTATTTTAATTTTTAATTTAAAAGTGATTATGAATAATTATTTTTTATCTCTATTATATTTGAGTTTAAATTGGAATATATATTTATGAAATTTTGATTAGCTTACTTAATATTCTTTATAGTTTTTTTTTATAAATTAATTTTTGTTATTTTCATACAAAATTTTATTATCAAAATTAAATTTATTATTTATATTATAATATTAAACACAATTTTTATAATTAGCCGTGCTATGCACGGGTAATAGGCTAGTAAATAGATATTGCATATTACTTATATTTACCTATTTGCTTATAAATATATAAACATTTATATGAATTACATATATTATTATTTTTTTATCTATGTATTTGTCCACATTCACATACTTATATATTATTACTACAGGAGCCCTGCTATGCAGGAAATAGTTATATATTTTATTAAATTATAAAATTTCATTGTTATTATTAAATATATAATATTTTAATATAAAAATTATTTGAATAAATTAAAATATTTTACACACTTCAATTTTTAATAATTTAAATATTGAAAATTGATAGATTTTATCGGTTAAATATAAATATTGCAAATTTTGTTTATTCATATTTTAATAAGTAATTTTTAAAGCCAAATTTTATTAATTTGTCACTGTTATTTTACTATAATTAAATTATAAAATAATTTTTTAATTCAGAATAATTATAACATATTTTTTATCCGTTAAATTATGCATGATATATTTATAATAAAAAAAAAATTACCTACAATTTTATTATCTTTATTTATTAATCTTCATGTTAAGACAATATAATATAAAAAGCCCCGACCAAAGAAATAAAAAACAATATATAATCTACTTGCTTATCCTATATTAATTAATATATATTTATATCAGCTAATTAAATATTCAATTTGTACACAAACTAATGTCCTACTATTATCCTATTTTCGTTTTTAAACACAATTTTTACATTTTTACCTTTAATTTATTTATTATTTTAAATCTCTACCATACAATTAAAGACAAATTTGTCTATTCATAACAAAAAGACAATCACTTAAAAAAACCGTACAAATATACTTTAGGACAATAAAATTGGACGGAGGTAGTATTATTATTGAAAATTTGATTTATTATCTTCTCAATATATTTATTTTTTTAATATTACATAAATCTAAAAAATAAAAAAAATAACACATAAAAAAACATCACATTTTTATACATTTATAATTGTGATTAAATTAAATTTTTTTATTATTAAAATAATTAAACAAATTATATTATATTATTATTTTCTACACTTCAAATATCCAATACACCTGTCCCTTTTTTTATTTTATTTTATTTATTATTATATTATTATATAATTATATAACATTATAACTCCATGGTTAATATTGCGCCATGCGTACATACACCCAACCATATATTACATCAATTATTATTTAAATAATCCTCGTGCTCCATGCTGTCTTCTTTTTTTTTTTTTTTTTTGTATTTATTTATTTACCGTATATTTTTCAATATATATTTAAAATTATAGTATGAAATTTATTTTATAAAATATCCTTTCAAATAGTTCCTCCGACTATGAAAGATATATTCGTTTGAGTTAAACATGAGTCTTAATAAATATATTATTATATTTAAAGTTGGTAAAAATACGATTCAAAAATCTGATCCTAACTCGGCACGAAAAAAATTATGCTTGAATCTAAAAATATAAACTTAAAAATTTTCATGCCTGATCCAACACACAAATAACTGGGCTGTACTTGAGCCCAGTGAAGTCGACAGGTCTGACTAGCCCCCATTTAATAAATTATTTATAATTTTAAAAATAATTTATATAATAGAAAAATAATTATATAATCAAGATAACTACATAACACATATAACATACTTAATAAATATAACATATTTAACAAATGTAAATCAACTTAAGTAATTACATAACATATAACATAATTTAATAATTTTATCTACATTTAAACCTCTACTTCTTTTATAAAATTAATTTATGTTAATTATAAATAATTAAATATAATTCTTTTTATTTACATTATAGAAAATTTTATTATCTACAAAAAATTATATTCATATTGCATATATTTTTTATTATGGTATAATTTTTAAAATATTTAAATACATATTTTAATTTTTTTTAATCATATATATTAAATTTATTTTAAACCACCAATGTTATTATATATAAAAGATAATAAAATAATATAATAATTTACTATTATTAACTAATTAAACATCCTAATTTAAAATTGTCTATAATAAAAAGTATCAACTATATTGGAAAGAAAGGAATATTATTAATAAAAGAATATACTCCCTCCATCTCATAAATAAGTATCCGAATATTTTATATACGAAATTTTATAAATATTAGTATTAGGCGGCACTGTGCTAAACAACACACATAGTTAGCAAATAGCAAACGGTAATGTTAGTAACAACACATCATTTATATTACTATAATACAAACACAACACATAAAGTAACAATACACAAATAGCTAGCAAACAACATGTCTGTGACAACACATCATTTATATTGCTATAATACAAATACAACACATCAATTAATAGCACATGGTATAATTATAAACAAACAACACATGTCATTATTACAAACATCACATGTTGTATAACCTTTCCCTTAGTATTATATTGTTATATAGTAAAAATAAAATTAAAAATACAGAAATAACTTTATAAGTGTTGTATCATATAAATATAATAATATTGTATAATATATAGTAAATTGTAAGAGTATTTTTAATGGTATATAGATAGTATTTCTATAAAAAAAATAAAAAATGAATAAGACAGATAAAAAAAGTAAAAATAAAAAAGAAAAATAAATAGTTTATTATCTAGAGAAAGTATATATGTATATATATATATATTATGTATAAAAAGATACACCATTCGTCATTCAAATTTAAGCTCACTTTTTTTTGGTTGTCATAGAAAACTATTCTCATTTTTTTTTAAATTAAAAAATTATTATATTTTTATATATTTTTTTAAAATAAAAAAATAACAATTATTATTCACTTTTATTAATTTTCGTGGTCGATTAAATGAGCACAAATTTGCGTGACTGTGAGATTAATATATAGATTTGATAGAAAAGGGAGTACGAAACTTTTTATTATTGTAAAAATTTTCCAAAATTTCAAATTTCTTACTAATCGGAACCAAAATACATCTACACCAAATTAAAGAACAACCCTTAAATTCTCCTTAAAAAAGCAACTAACGTAAAGTAAAAATGGATGCAAGAACAAATCCAAAACCTTGCTATAAATAAGTCCCACCCACACAACTCATAGCTAAACCACCCAAAATCAGGCCAAAAAATAATGGTGGAAATCCACCCCCTACCCCACCCCCACCCCCTGCATCTCTGTATTCCCAAAAAAACAGAAATTTCAATTAACAGAATCCACACTATCCTCCATGGAATTGCCTTGCTCGCACTGTTCTATTACAGGATCACCACTCTTTCCCAATTAATCATTTCTCCAACTCCCCACCTTCTCCCTTACCTTATCATCTTCGTCTCCGAGGTTGTCCTCTCCTTTCTATGGCTCGTCCACCGCCCCTCCAAGTGGCGCCCCCTCACACGCGCCACCTACCCCGACAACTTGCCGAAAGACGACGCGGAACTCCCCCCTGTCGACATCTTCGTCTGCACCGTCGATCCCAGCAAGGAGCCCTCTTTAGATGTCATGAACACTGTTATATCAGCCATGGCCCTCGATTATCCTCCCGACAAGATTGCTGTCTATCTTTCCGACGATGGTGGCGCGCCGCTCACTCTTGCAGCTATGAAGGAAGCCTGGAGATTCTCCGTTGTCTGGATTCCGTTTTGTAAGAAATACCGGGTGATAAATAGGTGCCCCGATGCTTATTTCTCTGGCGCGGATAAAAGTTCCGGGGAGGTGGCGAGTGACGAGTTTTTAGCTGATAGGAAGGTGATTGAGGTACGACGTTTTTTTCTTTACACAAAAATGTAGTTTTGATCGAGTAAATGACCATATTTCCATCTTTAGCGACTTTTACTGTGTTAAAATTCAACATAGTATTGACAACATACAATATAGTAACAAATAATAAATAATATAATGACAACAATAGGGATGGTTAGGGTAAAAATCAGCACAATGCTGATTTTTTAACTCTGCACACGTTATATATACAAACACCACACAATATTATTATTATGTACAACATATGTTGTGTATAATAAATGTATATACTGTTCTTTTATAATAACAAGTGTGCAGTATGTTATGTGCTAATATCAACGGTTATGTATTGTATGAGACTAACATGCGTTGACAGTTCATTTGCTGTATTTGTATTATATTAATATATATAATATATTGTCTGTAATAATACTGTGTACTATCAAATAGCACATAATGTGCGGTTGAGACTATAACATGTGTTTTTTGTTCATGTAATATATTTGTCTTATAGTATCATATACAATGTGTTGTATATAGTAATATCATGTGTTGTATATAGTAATAGCACACGGTGTGCTGTTCAGCACAGTACTGCATTTAATTCAACACTGTAGCCGCCGCCGACAACAATACATAATTTAACATAATATAAATACATAATATGAACTAACTTTGAGTGTGTAATCATCCCCTTTATCTTTATCTCATTGTTTCGTAGTCCAATTTTGTTAAGATTCTTATGCATACATTGTGAACTCTTCATATGTAATTTAGTTAAACGATCAAAACGATAGACTCGAATTACATCGTTGTGTTTCCTTTGAACACAAATTAATGTTCGGACCGGCGGTGATCAGCATTGATTCTTGCAGGACAAGTACGGCGAATTCAAAGAAAGGCTTGACGCAAATAAGGAAACTCTCGGCACTTCTGTTAGCGGAGATCATCCGCCGATCGTTAAGGTTGAAGTTTGCTATACTAAATACCAGACACCCTAACAATATACGTTTGGAAGACTATATAATATATAATTAATAATACAAACTTAGAGCGGGAGATTGAGATGGTACGTTGAGACACTGTATAATACTTTATCCGTCTCCTAAAATTATGCTCATTTTTTTTTTCTTTCTAAAATTATTTCCCGCACATCGTGACAAAAAATTTTGAGCACAAAATTAAGAAATGATGCATTTCTTTATTAACTTTTAAGTGAGATGACTATTTAACAATATCATTTTTTTAACTGATCGACATTTTTGCAACTGTAACAATAGATTATAAACGATGCGACTGACAACAACAGCAGAAGCCCGGATTCGAACCAAAAGGGAATGCCTCTTCTCGTTTATGTGGCCAGGGAGAAACGACCGTCGCATCCTCATCACTTCAAAGCCGGAGCCATCAATGTTCTTGTAAGTTAATCGAGCTCTGATTGAATCGCATCAATGTCGAGCTGCAATTTTTCTCGAACCTTTCCAAATGCTTGCAGCTAAGAGTGTCTGGAGTGATCAGCAATGCGCCGTACTTCGTGGTGCTCGACTGCGACCACTACTGCAACGACACGAGCGCAGCCCGCCAAGCAATGTGCTTCTTTTTCGACCCGGAGATATCCCCGAAGCTCGCTTGGGTTCAGTACCCGCAACATTTTCATAACATAAGTCCGCACGATATCTACGACGGGAACCTATTCTACTATTGGGTACGTTTCGTATCCGTCTGTAGTGAAACTTTTGTTGCTATGTTTTTCGAGCTCTGTTGTCTTGTCTCAGAGAGAATGGGAAGGCTTGGATGGAATTCGAGGTCCAACGATAACAGGCTGCAACTTTTTCATGAGACGGGAAGCGATATATGGAATCGACGAAGTTCCAAAGGGTACTTGCTTGGCCGTTGAACTTAAATTTAGCTCACAATTCACAAGTTCGTCGAGACAATCTTAACTTTCGCTACTATGTCCAGATGCTGATCTGAGCCTGCTGAGGAAGTACTTCGGTTCGAGCCACGAGCTAATCAAATCGACGTATAGAAGCTACAAACCGAGCATATCGAGAGATGAAGGGAAGGTCTCCGATGAGCTACAGAAGGAGATACAACTCGTCGCATCTTGTACTTACGACGATGGCACTGAGTGGGGCAACGAGGCAAGCTCCGAGAAACTTGGATAAGATTTGTCGATTTTTACTGTCCTAACGATCGGGTTTTGGGTGCAGGTGGGATCGGGATACAACAGCGTCGTCGAAGATGCGTTGAACAGCCTTAAACTGCACAGAAAGGGATGGATTTCGGTTTGGTACGATCCGAAAAGGCCGTGCTTCTTGGGGACATGCACCACGAATCTGAACGACATGTTGGTGCAGCAGACGCGATGGGCGTTAGGACTGCTTCTGTTGGGCGTGTCGAGAAATTCTCCAGCGATAAACTTGTCAAGTAAAATGCCGATCTTTCAAAGCATGAGCTACGCGGGCCTTACACTCGATCCTCTTTACGTCATTCCATTTTATGGCTTAGCAATCGTCCCCCAACTATGTCTTCTCCACGGTGTTTCTTTGTATCCCAAGGTAAAATTACAGTCATCATTCCATACGTTAAGCTTAGACCTTACTCACGCGACATATTTCTTACAGGTGGGAGATCCATTCTTCTTCGTCTTCGCATTCATCTTCATCTCCTCGCAACTCAAGCACGTGCAAGAGGTCGTCTCCTACGGCAGCCCATTCATAACAGCGCTGTACGATCTGCGCGTCTGGATGATGAAGTGCGGGGCGTGCTACTTATATGCGACTCTCAACGCTGTCCTAGATCGGCTAGGCCTGCAAGAAGCAAATTTTTCGATAACAAGCAAAGTGATTGATGAAGAGGAAACGAAACGCTATCAGGATGGCGTATACGATTTCCGGACATCCCCTCAGCTGTTGGCCCCAATGTGTAGCCTATACATTGTCAATCTGGTGGCTTTTCTGGTTGCCTCTGTAAGAATTTTCGAAGGAGAGTGGGGCAGGGAGATGTTTGCACAGGCTGCCATTCCATGGTTTGGTGTGACTGTGAATTACCATTTGCTCGATGGAATGCTAATGAGGAAAGACAAGGGGAGGATTTCGCCTGCTGTTACTATGTTGTCCGTTGTAATTTGCGCAAGCATTCTGTTTCTGGGATCGCTATTCATGTTTGTCTAATTCCATGAGCTTGTCCTATAAATGAAAAATTCTTTCAGGAAGAAAATCAAGTGTTACAATATATTTAAAGAATATATATCATATTTATAGTATTTTCTTTATTTAAAATATGTTTAAGACGAGAGTACGAGATTTTATTATTGAAATAGAGAATTTTATGTTCGTATTTGAACTTATTTACTATATTTGTTGATATAATTCTTAATGTATATGTCTTTACCATGCCGTTTGCGTCACTTCGATGACAGTTCTATTTCGGACTCTGTCGATATTGAGTCATATTTCCGACTCTAACGGCACTGGAAGCCTTGCGTCAAACTCTAATGGCATTGAAAGTACTGCTTTTGACTCTAACGGTATTGAAAGCCTAAGAATTTTTCTAACTCTAACGACGTTGAGACCTCTAGCTACATTACTTTCAGCCTTTGTTGACAAACTTAAAGTGCCTTATTTAACATATTTGTAAATAAAATAAAAAATTTCAATTTTATATTCTTACATAAAAAAAAAAAAAAAGAAAGGTCTTTTAAATTTGAACATTTACTATGCAATCTTATCAGAAGAATCTGCAGAAGACGGAATGGATTTTAGGGAGTGTTGGTCATCCGCCATTGCAGTTGTCTGGAGGTGGAAGATGAGTCGTTGGTTAGGGTTTTCAAGTAAACTGGGGATGACGAAGGGGAGTGGAAACTATACTCAAAACTCTTAATTTCAACCGATTCTGGTCTATTTTATTTACTAATACGTTAATTTTAGTCCTTTTATTTTTAAAATAATAATTTGTTCTGCATTCGTTAAATTAAATCAATTAGTACTTAATGTTATAATGTAAAACTAGTAACAGGTAATTAGTAGAAATTGTAACATTTAATTTAATTCAATATTTTAAATAATAAATTTTATTTTAACAATAAAACATTTTACAAAGATAGCCTAAATTAATTTATATAAAAATAAATTACAAATAAAAAATACTTTTTTATGGAGATAACCTAAATTAATTTATATAAAAAATACTCCCTCCGTCCACTCATAAAGTATATAATTACTTTTGACGCGGTGTTTAAGAAATAATAATATTTTAATTATAGTGGGTAGTTAAAAGTAGTGTAATGACATTTTTGCCCTTGCTTTTTGGTGTAAAAGCAATGATGTGATGTAAAGTAAGGGTATTTGTGGAAAAAAGTAAGGTATTTAATGAAATATTTACTTTGTAATTGGACATCCCAAAATAGAAATATGTATACTTTCTAGCTGGACAGAAGGAGTAAATTATAAATAAAAAATACAATAACTAAACTAAATGAAGAATATTAAGTAATTGAATCAAAGTTTCATAAATATATATTCTATTTAAAACTCAAATATAATAGAGATAAAAAATAATTATTTATAATTCCTTTAAATTAAAAATTAAAATAAATTTAAAAGAAATTTGTACCTATCAATGAGAAATAAGAGTAATTATAGTCTTACGTTGGACATGAGATTTAAGGAATATGAATATTATATTGGTAGTCGATAAAGATAAATGATTTTTTTGCCCTTGTGAGTATATTAGTGTAAAAAGTAATGGCAATTGTGTAAATAATAATGAAAAAGTAGGGATAGTTTTATGGTGATATAATTATTTATGAAAATGAGACTATTGTTTTGGGACGAACAAAAATGATAAAAAAACTATTGTATTGGGACGAATGGAGTATTAAATAAGTGAATTATAAATTAAATAAAACTTATACTCCATCCGTTCCAAAACTATAGTTTGGGTTGTGTTTGACACGAGATTTAAGAAATATTGATATTATATTGGTAGTGGATAAAAAGTACGGATAAAAGACTTTTTTGCCTTTGTGAGTATATTAGTGTAAAAAGTAGTGGCAATTGTGTAATAATAATGAAAGAGTAAGGATAGTTTTATAGTGACATGATTATTTATGGAAATAAAATTATTATTTTGGGACGGACAAAAATGATAAATAAGACTATTGTATTGGGACGGAAGGAATATACCATTTTAAATTCAAACCTAAGTTAGATTTATAATATTTATATACAATCTTATTAAATGAAATATTACAATAAATTTTGAAATAAATTCATATCAATCGATAAAAAAAAATCTCGATCTTTTTAGCTCATTTTCTTTTTTATCGTTAGTTTGAAAAAAAAATTTAAACAATATACAAAATATATATATACTAACAAAAGTAAAAACAAATATTGCATAATATTAAGTAATAAAATAAAAAATATTTATTAATAATTCATATTAAACTAAAAATAAATGACTCAAAATTTGAATATAGTTTCAATTTTTGAAAAAAAAAACAAAACTTATTAGAATAGTAATATTTGAAACTAAATTAATTAGAAAAAATACATATAGAATAAGAATTAAATAGTAAAAAATAAAAAAAACAAATAAAAATGCATACTAAATAAGAATGAAAGTACAAAAATAAAAATAGAATTTTAAAAATAACTAAAATTTACCTTAATTTTATGTATCGATTTCTTTAATATTCTTTTCAATAGAAATACTTAAAATTTAAATATAATCTAAAAAATTAAGGGATAAATATTTTAATATAATATTCCAAAACAAAGCAATTAAAATTAAGGGATAAATATAATATAATAAAAATACTTGAAATTTAAATATAATCTAAAAAATTAAGGGATAAATATTTTAATATAATATTCCAAAACAAAGCAATTAAAAAATACATATTAAATAAGAATGAATTTAAAATTGATTAGTAAAAAATAAAAATAACACAATATAATTAAAAAATACATATAGAATGAAAGTAATAAAATAAAAATAAACTATATATAATATATAATATAATAATCAAAATCAAATCAATTAGAAAAAACAAATACTCAATAAGAGCATCCGTTACCATTACCTTATTAATTATCTTTTTCATTGCTTTCTTAGTTTTAAATATAATAAGATGTGTTATCTCTGTTAGGAAATACAGTTAATACCAATTTATTACCTTTATAAAGAATTCGTTACCTCTATAAAAATAATAAAAAGATAATTGTTTAATTAATTATAACTTAAAATTTAAATTTTGAAATTTGAAATTTTAAGATTTATCTGTACCAATACAAATTCAAATTTCTTTCAATAAAATTTTTTATATATCCAATTTTAACATTTAAAATAATTTTAAAATTTTTTATATTCAATCTTTCTTCAATTAATTCTTTAACAAAACTATGGGAAATGAAAATTTATTCAGGCAATATATTAATCCGAGTTTATTTCAATCATTTAGATTTTTAAATGCCATTAATTTTACAAATTTGAATAATTTGAATATTTCATAATATAAAAATTTATATAATATTATTATAGTTTGTATAAATTAATATTTTAAAAATAAAATATAATATTACATAATAAATAGTACTCCCTTCATCCCATAACAAAGTATCCATTTTTCCATTTTAGTCCGTCCCATAACAAAGTATCCATTTCATTTTTTTTTAGTAATTGTACTATCTACCTAACATTATAAATACCCTTACAACTTACAATATATTACACAAATGTCATTACCTTTATATCACATATATTAACAAGGTTATTTTAGTCATTTCTACTTTATTCCTACTATATCCCAATATAATATTAATATTTCTAAAACTACGTGCAAAAAACAAATTGATACTTCTTTTTGGGACGGAGGGAGTACTATTATTTATATATTATTTCCTCAGTCATTCAAATCTATTCTCATTTTCTTTTTTTTTTTGGTTGTCATCCAAATTTATTTCCGTTTTTTTTTTCGTAAAAAAATACCACTTTTATTTACCAAAAAAGTAAAAATTTTGATTATTACATATTTTTCTTAAAATCCGTGCCCGGTCAAATGAGCACATTGAATGACGGAGGGAGTATTAGATACTAAAAAATATATAAAAATAAATAATTATGATGAATTTTATAAAATACTAAAGGTAATAGATAGAAGTAATGATACTAGGTGTTCAATGATACTTGGTGTTCAAATAAATAATCTGAATAATGATGTGGAGAAGAGATATAAAAAAGTAATGCAGTAGAGACACTCACTAACTGTAACGAATGCTCTAGAATTAAAATATTTTATTAGTAAAAAATAAAAATAACACAATAGATAATTTTAAAAAAGACATATACAATAACAATGAAAAGTATTAGAATATTATATTCAGAAGTAAATAAATTAGTAAAATAAATACATAATAAGAATGAAAATGAATCAATTAGTAGAACATTAAAATTAACTTAATATTATTATTATATATAATAAAATAAAATATAAAAAACAAACAAATAAATAAAATACTATACTTGATCATTTTTTTTCTTCTTTCTACTTCTGTAAAAGTAAATTATTAGTAAAAATATTCATATAATCAAACTTAAAATTTATAATTCAAACAAAAAATATTACTATAAGAATTTCATTGTGTAAATAAAAATAAAAATTATATGCATAAATAATATATAAATAAGATAATGATATTTTTTTCATGTAAAAAATCTTTTACTTCTTTTTGAACAATATGCATAAATAAAATACGAAGTAAGAAATAAGAAGCTCAATTTTCTAGGACACTTTTTTCAATTGAGCTTCTTTTGGGTTTTAGGGTTTCGGAATTTATAAATATTTCGTGGATTCTTTTAAATTTTTGTTTTCATTTTTATTATTAAATTTATATTGACAAATTCTCTTTTGTTCGTCTATCTCAATTCGTGCAATCAGTGTCACAAGGGAAGATCATTTGAGAAGAAGAAGAAGAAGTGTCCTGATGATCTGAAGGACCTGCTCGAGGCTTGCCTCTGCCGAGTTGAGGAACGAAGGCCGGATTCGACGACACTGTTGTCGCATCCATTGTTCGAGAAGAGAGCGCGAGAGCTTAGCTACGTAGCCAAGAATCTGATGAAGAATATACCCGATGTTATCGAAAGGTTTAAGCTAATGACATTACCGGAGAATTTAACTGTTGACGTGTGGATTCCTTCAAGAGGTAATGAAAGTTCGCTTCGGCGTCCGATTCTTGGATGGAAATAGAGCTCGAAAATGCTGGAAATGGAGGCTTTATTGTCTGTGGGGAGTCTGATAATGGAGGAAAGGGAGATGATGAAAAGTCTGATCAGTAATAATGGTAAGGTTGATGTCGAAAGGGAGATTAAGAACATAAAGTCTTGGGTTCGGAAGGAGGAAGAAGAATTTGCGCGTCGGAAGGAGACATTCGAGAGATACAAAATTTTGGTTATGAAACATGGTCGGATGGCCAGAGAAGTGGGGTTGGCAGCGGCGCCGGTGGATGAGCAGACGGTGGTTGAATAGCTGCAACATCGTCTTGGAGTGGAAGAAGCTTAGCGTAGTGGAGAGTAATGTATTGTACATTTTAAGTGCCGTAACCGTCGCAGATGATGCATTGTTGAACCAGACGTGCGGTGACAGATTAGGGTTAATAGTTGAATAACAAACAAAAAAAAACATAAAGAAAATACTGATTTTGCGTGGTTCACCAACAATGTGTTGGTTATATCAATGGACAGAAACGAAGAACAGATTTATTCACTATGACAATATTACAAATTACAGATCTTGTATCCCTAAGTCAATTTAAATAAACCAAGAGAATACAAGATTTCATATCCCAAGCAAATGGAACTTTTGCTTGCTTGACCCCGACTCGCTGACCAAATAACAAATCTCCGTAAAAGCTTAGAGAATTGACAAACTAGATTCAATATATCTTGAATATTGTCCAAGAAGTGATAATACAAGTGTGAATTCATTCACACCCACCATATTTTAATATCCCACGTACAAAGTCTTAGAAGATAAATCGTTGGGAGTGAGTATTCAATTCGGATATATGGTTCTGATTTTGCCAAATTTGAACCGATTCAAACATTCGAAATTTTGTAAAATATTGATTCTAGCCACGCGGAATTGTATGAAATTTAACAATTCAAACAAAACCGAGAATTTAAAAAATATAAAATCTGATTTTAAAAAATAGGATATATTCTTTAATAAATAAATAATCTTAGAGGGAAGAAATCGTAGGGATGAGTATTATGATGTATTTGAAATTTTGTAAATACTTGATTTGAACTAAATCGAATTGTCTAAAATTTAGATCAAAAAATTCAAAATTAAATGAAATTAATATATTTTAAAATAAATATTGATATTTAGGATATATGAATAAAAAAAAGGGATACATTTGTAGTGAAAGACCAAATAAAACAAAACAAAACAGACAAATAGTAAAGTTTTAGAAACTTTTAATAAAGAAACATATTTTTTTTACATTTCAAATTGCATTTTTGTAACGACTCATCTGCATTAATATAATTCAAATACAATATATAATTAATTTAATTGTATACATGACAATATTTCATGCAAATTATATATACTTGAATTGATTTCAACGTTGTGTCTTGCAATCCCAATCCATATTCTTGCCTACTTCTGAAAACCAATTTGCAGCTCTCATGGAGAATAATTAGTTAGTTAGATTGTAATTACTTTTATTAATATGTTTTTAATTATTTAATAATTATTTAATTTGCAGCTTTATGCTAATGAACCTAACCATTACCCTATCCCATCTAATCTAAAAGATAGTTATATTTTCAATCATAAACAAGAATCGGCTGAAACTAGGGTTTTAAGTAGAGTTCCCACTCCCTCTTCATCATCCCCAGTTTTCTTGAAAACCCTAACCATCCACTCATCTTCCACCTCCAGACACCTGCAATGGCCGATAACCAACACTCCCTGAAACCCGAATCCGAATCCAAATCCGAATCCAAATCAGAAGAATCTGCAGGAGAAGCCATCCCTAACCCCTACCCTACCACCCAGGATGCCTATAATCTTCTCGAGCAACTCTCCGATGGAACCGTAAACTTAGTCTGCAGAGCCTTCTGCATCCCCAAGAACGAGCACGTCGTCATCAAGATCATCATCGGCAGCTTCATCAACATCAAACTCGAACCCAACCGTCTCTTAACCAGAAACTTCCTCCTCCCCAACCATCCCAACATCCTCAAAGCTCACACATACTTCCTCGTCGGCGACAATCTTTGGGTGGTCATGCCCTACATTGCCGGCGGATCTTTAACGTCGATCATTACATCCAAATTCCATTCCGGCTTCAGGCCTGAAATCATCGCCACGATTCTCCTCGGAGTTCTCACGGGATTGGAGGCTATGCATTCGAAAGGTTTAGTGCACAAGGGCGTCAAGCCTGGGAATATTCTTCTAGACGGTGAAGGGAATGTTTGCCTCTCCGATTTCGAAGTTTCGTCGTGGAATTACGACGCAGAAGTTGTTATAGGTTTGTCTGTTGATTCTCCGGACACTTGTTCGAAACTTTTCCAGCCGTATTGGGCGGTGCCTGAGGCTGTCGGTACGATATCCGGATATGGCGCAAAGGGCGACGTATATTGTCTCGGAATAGTTGCCCTGGAATTACTCTTAGGATGCCCTCCGATCTCGACGTTCCCTGAATCGGAATTCTTGCTTTGGCAGATTGTGCACAGGTTTCATCTCTCCTTACATTACAAGAAGGTGATGCAATTTGCCTTTTTTTTTTTCCGTACTTTTGTGCAGTTCTTTAGAGTTGAGCGAAATTTTTGGCCATTAAAGATCGTTTAGAACTTAAAATGTTGGTTTTTCTACTTTTTGGGACACTTTCTTTTGTTGGAAAATATATTTGTGGCAAAATCTGAGATACGGCTAAATCCAAAAATACAAAATCAAATAGATGCGAAATTAAATTCGACTATCGCGTAGCACACAATTTCTTTGAAGCCAATTCGGCTTTCCACATATCGTCCTCCAAGGATAGAACAAATTGTGAACGGAATTATTCCGCAAACCGAATTAGAATGAAAGAAAAATTTTGAAAATAAATTTTTAGAATTGATATTTGGTTTTCCATTGAAAAGAAGGTGAGGTTATATTTTCCAATTTATTTTATATTTAATCACTAAAAACTGACAGGTACTATTTATTTTTTTATTTTTTAAATAAAATAAATTAATCAAATAATATGTGGGAATATAATTTATTCCCCTTTCACCTATTTAATTAAATACCCAACATTTTTTTCAATATATATAAATTTTCTTATTTCGAGCTTCTTTTGGGTTTTAGGGTTTCTTACTTATCATTTTTACTGTTAAATTTATATTGATAAATTCTCTCTTGTTCATCTATCTCAATTCGTGCAATCAGCGTCGTAAGGGAAGAACAGTTGAGAAGAAGAAGAAGAAGTGTCCTGATGAGCTGAAGGACGTGCTCGACGCGTGCCTTTGCCGGGATGAGGTACGAAGGCCAGATTCGAAGACATTGTTGGCACATCCATTGTTCGAGAAGAGATCGCAAGAGCTTAACTACTTGGCCGAGAATCTGATGAATTATATACCCGATGTTGTCGGAAGGTTTAAGCGAATAACATTACAGGCGAATGTAGCTGTTGACAGGTGGATTCAATCACAAGCTAATGAAAGTTCGCTTGAGAGTCCGATTCTGGGGTGGAAATACAGTTCGAGAAAGATGGAAATGGAGCCTGTTTCGTGTGAGGGGAGTCTGACAATGGAGGAGAGGGAGATGATGAGCTGTCTGATCAGTGATGGTAATGTCGATGCCGAAACGGAGATTCAGAACATAAAGTCTTTGGCTCGGGAGGAGCAAGAAAGAACCGCGCGTCTGAAGGAGACATTGAAGGTATATAAGATTTTTATTTGGAGACATGGTCGGATGGTCAGAGAAGTTCCGGCGGTGGCGGCGGCGGCGCCGGTGGATGAGCAGATGGTGGTTGAAGAGCTGAAACGTCGTCTTGGTGTAGAAGAAGCTCAACTAAGAAGCTCAACTTAGTGGAGAGAGACTTATTTCATATTTTAACTGCCGTAACCGTTGCATATGACCCAATATTGTCTCAAGAAGTTATAATGCAAGTATGAATTCATTCAAACTCACTTTTTTTTTTTTTTCCACGTACAAAATCTTAGAAGAGAAATCGTTGGGTGAGTATTCGGATACATGGTTGTGATTTTGGCAAAATTGAATCGATTCAAAAATTCAAAATTCGAATTGTTTTGAAATTTGACGATTTGAACAAAACCGAAAATTCTGGGAACATCGAGATCGCTACCCAATATGGCTGGAAAATCTCCGGAGAAGTGGCCGGAGAATAGAGATGTACCTATAGCCACTTCTTTGTTGGGGTGCAAACTCAAGTCTCAAATTTGGAAGATATGAAGAAAATTTTACACCTTATAAGTTTCAAATAAACTGCACTAGAACGAGACTTTTTGGAAAAAAAACAAATCCGTATAACACCAGCTCAAATCAGATAATATCATAATACTAGTGTTGAGCCACAACATTCCTTCTCATAATTCCATGACAAAACTTGGAAATTGGAGAGACAAACATTCCCTTCTCCATCTAGAAGAATATTCCTAGGCTTGACGCCCTTGTGCACTAAACCTTTCGAATGCATAGCCTCCAATGCCGTGAGAATTCTAAGGAGAATCGTGGCGATGATTTTGGGGCTAAAGCCGGAATAGAATTTGGATGTAATGATCGACATTAAAGATCTGCCGGCCATGTACAGTATGACTACTGGGGTGCAAACTTAAGTCTCACATTGGAAGATGTGAAAAAAAATTCATACCTTATAAGTCTCACATAGACTCCACTAGTATGAGGCTTTTTGGAGAAAGTCAAAAAACAAATCCGTGCAGGCTTAGCTCAACGCGGACAATATTATACTAGTGTCGAGTTAGTCCAGTCCCAACAATAACCACCCAAAGATGGTTGTCACCGATAGGGAAGTATGTGTGAGCTGACGAAGCCTTTATCTTCTTAATCTCTCTTTCGGCATCAGCCTTACCCTTGCTCATTCTTTTAAACATCTCCCTCTCCTCCGTTGTCAGACTCTCCTTGGAGAAAAAAGGCTCCATTTCCAGCATATTCGAGCTGTATTTCCACTCAGAATAGGACTCGGAATCCAACTTTCATTACCGCCAAGGGATCCACCTTACAATACTTACATTCCACGGTAATGTTATTGCCTTAAACCTCTCAACAACATTGGGCTTATTCTTCATCAGATTCTCGGCCACGAAATTGAGCTCTCGCGCTCTCTTCTTGAAGAATGGATGTGCTAACAGGGTCATGGAATCTGGCCTTTGTTTTCCGAGTTTCAGAGTAATGGCCATTGCAACCTCCTATTTGTTGGGAAAGTGTGCCATTGCCGAGTTGATCGATGATTCGATAATCGTGGGGCGTTAGTTAGTAGGACACGATTCCTGCTTATGATTTCTTATTTGCAGCCATGGGAGAAGATGAGTTGGATTCTTCTCTTGGAAAGAAAGCGTAGCGAGCGACTGATTCGATTTCAAGAAAGTGAGATTTAATGTGGGAATGGAAAGGGAGGCGCTGTATATAAATAGTACCCTTCCGTCTATTTACAATGTTTACATTTACTTTTGGTGCGGTGTTTAAGAAATAATAGTATTTTAATTATACTGAGTAGTTAAAAGTAGTGTAATGACATTTTTGCCCTTATTTTTTGTGTAAAAGTAATGATGTGATGTAAAGTAAAGATATTTTTGAAAAAAGTAAGGTATTTAACGAAGTATTAACTTTTACAGTTATTTTAACCGGAAGACAATTGTTTATTAGTTTTTTTTTGGATAAACTAATGTATTTATATAAATTTAAAACTTCATTGTTTTAGAAAATGAATTTATGCTTTAAATATATATTTTTTACTTTTTATATAAAATTTTATTTCCAGCTAAATAATACTACATTTAGTCCAATTTATTTGGTAAGTGTTGACATTTGAATATTAATTATTATATTAAAACGTAGTATAAATTTTAAAAAAATTACAAAAATATTTTCATCAGTGTCTTATTATACTAATACAAACACATTTGTATAAAAAAATTATATAAATATAACGATATTTTTAATGTAAAGTACAATAACGTAAATGTAAATATAACCCTTAGAGACTGAAGATTGAAGTATATTCTTTTCGTTTCATATACAATGTTACATAAGTTTTTTCAGGCCTTAGAAACTACCAATTCATAAGAATATTTACAACTTATTTAAAAAGCCACGCCCAACAATACATGGGTGTTTACTCAAATATATTGTAATTTTATAAAATGTGTTTATCTAGATAATATAAAAATAATAAATATATGTAGTAAATTAATTTTATTGGGAAAATGTGTTAGCTTGATTAAAGTTTCTAATTTTTTTTCCCCTTTTTCTTATATATATATATATATTAATTTATTTAATTTTTATTTTGCATTTGAAATTTAATTATATCTATCTCGAATTACTAGATTTTGGATTTTACTCCACAAAAATATATAGGGGCTCAATTTATTATCCTATTTTTGCAAATCTATATAATGTGAATTTTCTAATAAATTGGTCTACTTCAGATGTGTTTGGCTGTTAATTGAAAGTCGAATCGGATGTGATTTGTTTAGTTGATATTTAATTTATAATATAATTTACTATAATTAAACTAAATTTAGAATGAATATCTAAGCATTTTAAAGACTATTTAAATCTCAATAAATATATACCATACGACAAGTTATTTGAAAGAGAATAATTTAATACAATGAAAATAACTAAATTATATATATTTATACATAAGTAGCATAAATTAATTTCTTGAAAAATTTATTTTAAAAATATATATATATATATACTTAAAAGTTTCGAATTATTCATAAAATGGCAATCCAAGAACTGCCTCGCAGCTAAAATTAACTGTAAAAGTAGTTAATTCAAATTCTTCCATTAAATTCGTCTCCATCTTCCAACTCCCACACTTAAACCCTCATTTTCTTGAAACCCTAATCACTACACCTTCTCAACAACCAACAATTTCTCCCATGGAAGAATCCGCAGAATCAGACTACGAAAGTACAGCATACAGCTGGATCTTTACCGGCAGGAGTCCTTACCCTACCAACGCCGGCGGTTATAAAATCCTCGATCAACTCAGCAATGGCACCACCGCCGTCGTCTACAGAGCTGATTGCCTTCGCACAAAAACGATTGTGGCAATCAAGATCATCGATCTTAACATCACAGAGAAGAAGTTCAACATCAACGATGTTCTAGCAGCGCATAGAATGCTTCCTACACATCCCTCCATCCTCAAACCCCACTGCCACTTCATCGACGATAATAACAAGCTTTGGGTTGTTATGCCCTACATCTCCGGCGGATCGTTAATGTCGATAATTACGTCGACGTCCACCGGAAGCCTGAGTCCGGCTATCGTCGCGACGATAATTCCCAGAGTTCTTGATGCACTCGATATTATGCATACCTTCAGAATACCACATATGGGCGTCAAGCCTGGGAACATTCTTGTAGAAAAAAATGGGAAGGTTTTGCTCTCCGATTACGCAGTTTCGACATGGAATTACGAAAAGGAATTGCTGTGTGATGTTTCCAGTACTTTGTCTTCTTCTTCTCCGGTGATAGCTCTGCCGTATTGGATGCCGCCGGAGGCTGTCGATGCCTCATTTTGGGTTGGAATAAAAGCTGATATCTTTTCTTTAGGTATAGTTGCCCTGGAATTACTTGCCGGCCGGCCTCCGATCTCCGTCTTCCCGGAATCTAAATACATGCTTCAAAAGATTAAAAAGAGGTTCGATTTCTCCGATAAATGGGAGAAGGAAAGAGAGGCGAGGAAGAAGAAGAAGAGGTGCCCTAGTAAACTGAAGGAAGTGATCAATTTGTGCCTCCGACGGGATCCAGCCAAGAGGCTGAGTTTCATAAAACTGTTAAGCGAACCATGTTTTTTCATCAACACCATGAATTTGGAGGAGAATTTAATGGCGGGTTTGCAGGATGTTAGGGAAAGGTTTAAGCCAGCGGCGGCGATGGAGATCCCGGAGGCTGAAAATGTATCTTCTGCAAGTTCGATTCAGAGACCGATTGTGGGGTGGAAATACAACAAGGAGAGGATGGAATTCGACCCTATTTTTTTTGCAGAGAATGCGGTAATGGCGGACAGCAAGTTTTCGAGAAATGTGAGTTTGGGAGACGTGATGACTTGCCATGATATTGAAAAGAAGTTGCAGACTATGAGTGTTGTCAAGAAGTTGCTGGAAAAACAGATTGCAAAATTGACTAGCACAATGGACAACATTCGAATTAGGCGTGAGAACGAAGAGACTGCCGCCGCTGAACTTCCGCCGGCGCCGGCGCCGGAAAAAGGTGAATGAGCAGAATACGGTAGAAGAAAGTGAACTTCGATAGATACACGATTGTCATGTCACACTCATTACATTTTTTTTTTTTGGTTATATACTTCTTTTGGATTTTTCTTTTATTTTTTAGTATTCAGTCTAAAGACTCTAAACATTATTTTATAAAAATATACTTTATACAACATAATATTGGACTATTATTTCTAAAACTCATATTAAAAAAAAAAAAAATCTAGAATTCTTACAGTATTTAATAATGCACTCTCATAGACACTTTTCCATTTTTTGGAATATCTTATTCATCATACACCTACACCTTGAGAAAAATAAATAAATAAATATCATGCAATTTTGGAAAGTTGAATTTCTCTACTTTATTAAAAAAGAATCATACATAATTTATAGCAAAATATGAATCTCATAATTTTACAAATATCTAATATTGTCGTGGGTATGGTGCTAAACCTAATTTCAGTACCATGCATAATTAATAATGACCATTAGATTAGATTTCAAGTAGATTAATAGTTTAGTTTAATTTAAGGGGTAAGATTATCAAATTATCAAAAATATTAAATATGACATTGAATCACACGTTATAATTAGGGAAAACAATATAATTATATCATTTCAAATGCAAGGGAGGTCAGGTCATCTAAAAAAAATTAATTCTTCTAACACCATTTCACATGAAAAAAAAATAATAACAAAAATCAACATTTCTTATATCATCAAAATAAAAATAGATATAAAATTTTTTGAACGCTGTGGATGGAACTGAAGAAGTAAACGGCGTAGTTCAAAGAGTTGGGAAAGGGAATAACACCTACCGAAATTTGAATCCCGACAAATTTTCATATCGAAATAAAAAACCACTACAAAAAAATAATATATTTGTAACGGAATTCCGTCCCTAAAGTTCACATAGCTAACGTAATTCCATTCCTAATTCCGTCTCTAATGTGATTAGTAACGGAAAAAATAGATTCAGAGACAAAAAAATTTTGTTACAAAAATGATTTTTTCTTGTAGTGAACCTTCAGATACTTTTTAAATTTTTTGTCATATATTCATTTTAAAAATCTTATGTTGGAAAACATGAGACAACCTTTCTGTAGTAGATGTCCATCGTATTGTGTTTTCTATTGCATAATATTGCGGGAGTGAAGTATATTGATCGAAAGATTTGTCCACGGGATTCCGAGTGTGAATTTGTTGTGGAAATACAACTCGGAAATGTTGGAAATAGACTTTTTTTTTTTTCTCTGTGCAAAGCCTCGGAATGGAGGAGAGGAAAATGACGGAAAGTGTGAGAAAGAAGGGTAAGGTTGATGCTTAAATGGAGGTTAATAAGATAAAGGCTTCGGGTCAGAAGGCGCAAGAAAAATTCGCGAGTATAAAGAAGACATTCGATAAATATAAGACTTTGATTAAAGACATGTTTAAGAATTTAAGAGAAAATTATAAAATTTATTATTGACAAAAAAAAAAAAAAAGTTTACAAAACTATATATAGTAGTGACTCGGGCCTAAAGTTAGTATTCGGAGTAGAAGAAACTCGGCTCCGTACTAGAGAGAGATGTATTGTACATTTTAAGTGTAACAATTTCAGATGATGCATTGTTGTGCAATTCGAACTAAAGGGAAAACTCATCTTTAGGGGTTGTCTCAAGAAATTTGAATATTTTTCTTTGAATGGCCCATGAAGAGGGCTGGTCGGAAGAGTGATGTAAGATCCCTAAAGTATTCTAAAAAGCCTTTAAAAAGAATATATTTTGTAATGAACAGATTGATAAGGAACATAGGATTAATTGATGATCCGACAAAAGAAAAACATACTAACCGAATCAAACTTGAATTATAATGCAAGAAATATGAACAAAATGCATAAATGAATAAAGAAAAATAAGGAGGAATCGGATAAAACAGGGATGAATGGAATTGGATAAAAATAGAGAGAATTGATTAATTTTTGTGTGTTGTTTGATGTGTATCTGTTGGTTGTATCCGATTCCTCCTTGTTAAAGAAGAAATTCAGATTTTCAATATAAAATTAATTAGTGATAAGTGAGTGACCTTTCACCCTTATAACTCTTATAAGCTAAGGGAGTTTCCATATTTTTCCAATATGAGACAATACTCAACATTCATAACATTTTATACCTTTTAATAACCGATCTTCAATGTACTTCACTAATTTTTCAATTAGTCTCAAGAATTACTTATCCTCATAATTTTAGAAGAGAATGTTGGATTAATGTGATTGTGGGTTAAATATAAATTGTTTGAACTATCGGTCAGATTAAGCATGAAAAGTGATCTAAATGTCTTAAGACGGCGAGTAGATGTAGACAAGTATCGATTCCTTCGATGCTAACATTCCCACGACAATAATAGAGGGCAGAATGTTCATTAGTTTTATTATTATTATTATTATTATTATTATTATTATTACTGATTTGTGGAGTGCTTTTAGCATGTGAGCAACTGCTGAGGCCGGAAGACCATATTTTAAAATTGTATTATTCATTATTATTATTTAAAATTTTAAAATTAAATTTTAACTTTTAGTTTATATTTTTTCTTCTTCATAATTATTCAATTTAATTTTAAAATTAAATTTTAATCATATGTCTTCTTCATAACTATATTTTACCTCATCTTTACAAATTTAATCATCGTCAACGTTTCTCTACCTCACACTCTGTAGCACTGCGTCCATCCACTCAAACCCAATCTGCCCCACCTTCTCTCTTCTCTCTCTTTCACTCTCACTCAGTCCTTGCTTTTCGAACCTTCGGATATTCTGTCTTTCATTTTCTTTTGTCAAATACTACCCAAACCGTCGCATTCAACCTCTTGTCCAGTCGACGTCAATCAGTGATATTATTTTGAAAATACATTTTAATCATATATTATAGGGTTCTATAATTAATTTTTCGCTCAGGGCCCCAAAAAAGTCCGAGACGGCCTGACTAATTTAGTCAAAGTTGTTAGCTTAAAGAATTGGCTGTGATTACCCACTCACACCATGAATATAAATCGGAAAATAAGCAGGATGATGATCGAACTCTCAAGGTTAGTTTCGCCGCCACTAGACTACACTCTCATTTCTTTATTATTATTATAAATGTTTGGTAGGTATTGGATAAGTTTTAATGTGAATTTGTATTTTTAGTTACTTTTTATTTTTATCATTAAAAATTATACAAAAAGTAATACACCATCTATCCCTTTAACAAATTATTCATTTTTTAATTTTAATTTGATTCGTTCCATAACAAAATATTCATTTTATTTTTTATAATTGTATTATCTACCTAACATTATAAATACTCTTACAACTTACAATATATTACACAAGTATCATTACTTTTATATCACACAATACTAATAAGGTTATTTTAGTTATTTCTACTCCATTCTTATATAATAGTAATATTTCTAAAATTCTGTACAAAAAAACAAATGAATACATAAATGAGACAGATGGAGTATAATTTTTTACTTAATGTGATGAACAATAGATGAACATAAATTTATATATTTAAAAATATTTAGATTTAAAATATATATTTCATTTCTTTAATCTAAGCCCGGCTCATCCCGCAACTGATTTTAACAAACCTCTGTCTTACTTCAATTTCTTTCCCGACTTATTTTTAAGGTCCAAAGTCAATTTTTTGGGCATTAAAGCCTAAAAAAGATTTTCAGCCGTTGGATCATGTTCATTTTTACAGTATTTAGAAAACTATCAATTCATAGGGATATCTACAACTTATAAAAGCAACTGTACATAAAAAAATAAAAATAAAAATAAAATAAAAAATAAAAAATAGAGTTTTCAAAAATACTCATCTCTGAAAATTTGATACGAAAAATATTGTTTGGGCTTCAAAAAATATGTTTGAAATTTTTGGGCACGTCAACGAATTGGATTGTGTCTAGAACCCTATTTTTTTGAAAATTTATATGATGTGATTTTTTAATACATCAGTGTACTTCAGATGTCTTTGGTTGGATTGATTTTAATTTTTTTAATTCATATTTAATTTTTAAGATAATATCCCTTACAATTATTACACTAAATTTAAGATGTGTGTTTAAGCATTTCAAGACTACTTAAATCTCAATCAATATATATAACCCGGATGTTATTTGACAATAAAAATAAGTTAATTTATGCATAATTAGTGTAAATTAATTTCTTGAAAAATTAGTTTAAAAAAAATATATATGTCTAAAAGTTTCGAATTATGCATAAAATCGCAATCCAAGAACTGCCTCGCAGTTAAAATTAACTGTAAAAGTAGTTAATTCAAATACTTCGATTATCTTCGTCTCCCTCTTCCAACTCCCACACTTAAACCCTCATTTTCTTGAAACCCTAATCACTACACCTTCTCAAAAACCAACAATTTCTCCCATGGAAGAATCCTCAGAATCAGACTACGAAAGTACAGCAACCAGCAGGTTATTTACCGGCAGGATTCCTTACCCTACCAACGCCGGCGATTATAAAATCCTCGATCAACTCAGCAATGGCACCACCGCCGTCGTCCACAGAGCTGAGTGCCTTCCCAAGAAAACGTTTGTGGCAATCAAGATCATCAATCTCGACATCACTGAAAAGAAGCTCGACATCAACCATATTGTAGCAGCCAGCAGCAAGCTTCCTGATCATGACTGCATCCTCAAACCCCACTGCCACTTCATCGACGATAAGAACAAGCTTTGGGTGGTTATGCCCTACATGGTCGGCGGATCGGTAATGTCGATAATGTCGACAGTCCCAGGAAGCATGAATCCGGACATTATCGCGTCGATACTTCACCGAGTTCTTGGCGCAATCACGGCTATGCACGCCATCGGTTTATCACATATGGGCATCAAGCCTGGGAACATTCTTCTCAGCGAAACTGGGGATGTTAGGCTGTCTGATTACAAAGTTTCGACATGGAATTACGAAAAGGAATTGCTGTGTGATGTTTCTAGTACTTTGTCTTCTCCTTCTCCGGTGATAGCTATGCCGTATTGGGTGGCGCCGGAGACTACGTCGGAGACTCTCGATGCTCAATTAGGGTTTAGCAGAACGGCTGATTTATTTTCTTTTGGTTTAGTTGCCCTGGAATTACTCACCGGCCGGCCTCCGATCGCCGTCTTCCCGGAATCTCAACAGATGCTTAGAAAGATTAAAAAGAGGTTCAATTTCTCCGATAAATGGGAGAAGGAAAGAGAGGCGAGGAAGAAGAGGAAGAAGTGCCCTGATGAACTGAAGGAAATGATCAATTCGTGTCTCCAACGGGATCCAGCGAAAAGGGCGGGTTACGTGACACTGTTATGCAATTCATATTGCAGGGAGCAAACGATTTTGGAGGACACTTTAATGGTGGGTTTGTCGAATGTTAGGGAAAGGTTTAAGCCAATGGCGGCAGCGCCGCCGCCGCCGGTGAGGGGAAGTGTATCTGCTGAAAGTTCGATGCAGAGACCGATTGTTGGGTGGGAATACGACACGCAGAGGATGGAATTCGACCCTCTTTTTTTGGCAGAGACTGCGTTAATGGCGGACAGCAAGTTTTTGAAAAATGTGAGTTTGGGGGACGTGATGAGTTGCGTTGATATTGAAAAGAAGTTGCAGACTATGAGGACTGTCAAGGAGTTGTTGGAAGAACAGACTGCGAAATTGAGTAGCAGATTGGAGAGCATTCGAAATAGGCGTGAGTGCGAAGAGACTGCCGCCGCTGAACGGCCGCCGGCGCCGGCGCCGGAAAGAGGTGAATGAGCAGATTCCGGTCGAATTTTTTTTGTTTGTCATGTAGCTTGAAGAAAGTGAACTTTTGGTTATAAACACGATTGTCATGTCACATTCATTGCCATTTTTTCTTTTCTTTTTTTTTCTTAAATTTTTGTTATATACTTCTTTTGGATTTTACTTTGATTTTTTAGTATTGAGACTAAGGGTATGGTTGCAGGTGATTCGGATTTTGGATTGAGATTTGAATGGTAAAAAATTTGAATCAAAATATTTGTATAATATTATATAAATATGGATTAATACGATGTTTAACTTATTTCACCAACAAAATAATTAGTAAAACATAACATTAAAACTAAAAGTTTAAATAAATAAATTATCGTCAAAAAGTCAAAGAGTAGTTGAGAAGTTAATGTATAGTCAATTTCATATCTAAACATTTTTTATAGATGTGAAAATATATAAATATTTTGAAAATATTTGTTTACACACTACATATTCACTTATTTGATACTTTTTATTTTAAAAAAAATATTGCATCAAATATTTTTTTTTTTCACAAAATATCAAATCAAATACTAACTTTCTAATTTTTCAAAACTTCCAAATTTTCAAAAATCTCCTAAACCCCTGTCTAAACAAACTTTTGTTTCTTGAAAAACATGGCACATAAAATACACTCATTCTGTTCAATACAATAGTCTTATTTATCATTTTTGTTCGTCCCAAAATAATAGTTTCATGTCCATAAATAACTATATCACCGTAAAAATATCTATATTTTTTTATTATTATTACATAATTGTCACTATTTTTTACACTAATATATTCACAAGGACAAAAAAGTAATTTATTTTTAATTTTTACCAACTACCAATATAATATCAATATTTTTTATATACAATACAACAAGAGTATACTTTTAGGACGGGGGAGTATCTTATACAAGCAATTCTTGAAGTAGAAATAACGTAATTAATGACAATAAGAAATTGAAAAGTAAATTTAAAATGAAAAAAATATATATATTAATAGTATAACTTTACCTTTTGAAAAATGATATATAATTAAATAGTTTTTTTTTAAAATAATGTGTAATTATATATATTGCGTTATATTGTAAAAATAAATTAAAGTTGAGGTATAATTTATAAATATAAAATTTATATAAAATAATATAAAAAATGAATATATAGAGAATATAAATTTTAGAGTGAAAATTGAAGTTTATGGTCAAAGTAGATCAATTGCATTTTTACTGTAACTACTGCAAAAATAAAGTAATGGATTAGGTCATCTCCAACCGAACAACTTCATTTATACCATTAGAACTCTAAAGACGCAGTTGTTACAGTAATTTTATCCAACCAACAATTTTATTTTTTACTCTAAAAATAATATTATTCAAATATTTCATTTTATATGTTATTTTAAACCATTTTTTATATCTAAAATTAATATTTTTAAAAAAAAATTAAAAAATAAATAAATTAATATACAAATAAAAAATATATATATACAAAATGGCATTGTAGTGTAGCAAATACTATTTTGGTGTAAAAGATAGCACAGCACAGGGTTTGAGGGTGAACTCCATTTATGGGCAGCAACCTCAAAATTGCAGCCTCGAATATCCTAGTCACTTTCTCAGTCTGTTCTTCCAACAACTCCTTGACAGCCCTCATAGTCTGCAACTTCTTTTCAATATACATATATATATATATATATATTTAATATTTTTAATTTATTTTTAACAAATACTATAGAACATTTGCAAAAAAATTCATACCCATTTTGTGAAGGTAACAGACTAAAATTTATACTATTTTTGTTTAGTTCACTAAGGTTAGCGACAAGCTCTTAAAAAACTTAAAATAGCTGGATCAAATTGAGCACCTGAATAATTAATCTATCTTGCAGTTCTATATATATATATATATATATATAGTCACTAATGGCAATTTAAAAGCAATTAATAATAGGGGTGGGAACCGCTATATTATTTACAAATATGGAGGTATTTGATGTCCCAATCGAATCGAACAAATACTTAAAACTGTGAACCGTATTTGAATAATTAACCGAAAATATTTGCAATATTTGAAAATAACTCGAATTGAACCGAAATTAAGAAAACATATATTAAAATTCTAATTAAAAATATTTAAAAATATTTCAAATATCCGTACCGAAACCAAACTGAATATAATTATTAATATAAATTTTCAAATATAATAATATAAATATATAAATATTTTCGGTTCGGTTAACCGAACCAAAAAAATATACAAAATCGAAACCGAACTGAACCGAACAAATATCAAGTATACAGTATTTATATTTGAACCGAATTTGTTCGGTTAACCGAATAATCGGTTCAGTTCAGTTCGTTTCGATTTTTTTGTCCACCCCTAATTAATATTTCTTCCGTCCCACTTACCATGTCCATATTGCCGTCTATGTCCGTCCCGCATCTCATGTCACTCTCATTTTTTGAAAAATAATTACCCATTTTAATCTTCTTTTATATTTTCTAATTTAAATTTTTTTAATTTTAATTAAATTAATTAGTTATCTTAATCTTAATCTTAATCTATAATGATTTATATCATAAGTTAATTATTTTCACTAATACATTCTTAATTATCCACTAATTATATTTATCCTAAATTCTAGGTGTCTACAATGACCAAGACACTCATTGTGGACATAGGTAATAATAAATTATATAATATACTCATTGGGTCTGTTTGTTTAGTGAAAAAATTTGAAGAAAATATATTTTTGGGAAATTGTATATTTTTATAGAAAGAACAATCTTCTTTTGTCTAACATATTCGACAATATTTTTCATTTTGATATGTCTCATATACCTTATAATATTTTCAACATATGAGATAATTAACTACGTCTTATTTTATCACATCACTCAAATAATATATATATATATATGTATTTTTATATCTCAACACATCATCTAATTCACAATTTATTGTACTTAACACTATCCATCTAAATTTTTGTGTCGAAAACCAAATGTTGCATCATATGTAGAACGGAGAGAATATAATCTTTGTGCAGAAAAGGTTTTGTCGAACAAGTGATCTTGCCCTGTTAGACAATACTCTCTTCGTCTATTAAAATTAGTCTATTTGGTTCGGTATGAACACTAAGAAAAATTAATATTTTATTAAAAAATGATAAAAACAAAAAAAAAATGAGGGTACTTTTAAAAAAAATTGTTAGATATTAGAGGAAATGAAGGGGAAAAATATAATAAAAATATAGTAGTATTCTTGTAAATGAGTGTTGAGTATAGATAAATATTGATTTATTAACTTTTTCAAACTACGTAAAAAGTAAAAAGAAAAAAAAAATGGTGGACGAATGAAGTATGTAATATCATCACTTTTATTCGATATGAAACATTATTACAATGCTTCATAAAGCAAAGAAACCCTCATTTATTTTCAAGCTATTACATTACATAAACTCTCCTAAAAATTAAATGGTGGAGGAGCATGACGATGACGATTATGGCGGCCATGACGACGGTGATTACGTCCGCATGGGCAGCCACAGAAAGAATGAACATCATTTCCCGCATCAAATGAATCAATACTTGTCGATATCACTTCTTCTTCTCCGATGTTTGGATCAAGCGGTTCATACTTATTTTCTTCGAAAACGTAAGCATGAGATGAGAACAATGCAAAAACCCATAATGTAAGGAAAAGAAGAACACAATATATACGAGACATTTTTAGATTATTTGATATGTTGATGAAAGATTTTGGGTGTTTGCGAATGAATGCACATCGAACCATTTTTATAGTGTGTAGAATATGTATTATTGGTAGATGCTTTTGTCTTTTGCATTTAATTTTCTTGTAATATTATTTAGTATTTGAAATTTATTATTAATGTTCTTTGCCATTTTAATTTTAATTTTAATTTTATAATTTTTTATTGTCATTAATTAATTTATTTGAATTCCCAACCATGTATGTAAAAGATATATATATATTATTTGGATTTTGAAGAAGCAACTTTGTGCAAAATAATTATTATATACTCTCCTCGTCCGCCTCTAAGGTCACATTTATCTTTTGCGTCATTGTTTCTAATATTAAAAATATTTTTATATTTGTATAATCTTTTGTACAAATATCATTATATTGGTATTGTAAGACATTGTTGAAAGTATTTTTGCAATTTTTCTTAATTTGTATTGCGTTTTGATATAATATTTAATATTCAAAGATCAATACGTAAAAAGTAAATGGAAGTTTTAGAGCGGGACAGAGGTAGTATAATTTATTATTAATAGCTTTTTATATGCTATTTGTGATTGTATCAAACTCTGATTTCTAACTCATCTCAAGTGTTTGATCCAGGAGACCTTCAAGGTAAAATTATTGGTCACACTTCGACTGGATAAAATACAATTACCAAGCTTTCAAAGGTCTTTACTACAAAAAAAATAATCTATTTGTAACGGAATTTTGTCCCTAAAGTTCACGTAGCTAACGTAATTCCATTCCTAATTTCGTCTCTAATGGCATTAGTAACGGAAAAAGTAGATTTAGAGACATAAAAGTTTTGTTACAAAAATGATTTTTTCTTATAATATTAGTTGCTTTTCGTTGGGGATTCAAAGTGACCAGGTTTGGTTTTCATGTGCCTTGCAGTTCTATTCATCCTCTTCTTTGTTGGGGTGATGTTCGGATCCTTGGCTACGTGGGGATTTTACTTTGGTTGGTTTTTTTTGTTAGGTTTATCGTTGTCGATTGATTGATGGAGGTGGTCGAATGGTGGTTGAATTTTACGGGAATTGTTTGCTCTTTTATTTGACTTTTTTTCAACTAAAACATTATTTGTTTATATGTCAAAATAACTTCAGAAAATATTCGTTTATAAAAATCTACTATTTCCGGGTCATCATGCTAATCTAGTCTCTTTTGGCATCTATGTTGGAAATTCACATATTCATCGAAAACAACACAGTGATTATTTTCTTGTCAATTCTTCAGTATTTTTTTTTTTTCTATTACTCGCGAAACATCGACTATTTTTCTATTTGTCTTTGAATTTTTAATGGTATAATACAAAATGGACGTTCTATAGGTATATTTGCATAGTATATAAAACAAAACATAAAAAAAAAGGGAGGATAATCAAACTAATGCCAATATTTGTATTATTATTTTCATTTCGTATATGTATTCCCATTGTAACTTGTTTATGTGATCTCGTACTGTTTTTATAAAAAAAAAAAATATATATATTATAAAAATTTAGATAATATATTATCTTATTGAAAAATATGTAATGATTAAAGAACAAATTCTCACTACAAGAAATTTTTAATTTTGTAACGAAGTTTTTTCGTTGCTAAATTCATTTTTTCCGTTAGTAATGATATTAGAGACGGAATTAGAGATGGAATTAGGTTAGTTACGTGAACTTTAGTAACGAAATTCCGTTACAAATATACTATTTTGTTATAGGGTCTATTTTCTTATACAATATTTAAACAAAATATAAATATTTCATATGATTTCTTTTTATTTTAATAAATTATTGATGAATATTAAGGAGAGAAAAAAAAGTAGTTTTAAAAAACTAAAAAAAAAAAAAAGAGTAAATTGAGGTTAAATAACTGCCTCTACAATTATTCTAAAAATCTTCAATTAACAGAAGTAAATCCCAATCCCAACTTCCATTTTCTACAAAACCCTAATCGATCACCACATCTTCTCGACAACAAGAAACCTAACTGCTCCGCAACCTCTCCCATGGCTACAAAACAAGAATCCCAAATGACAGACGAAGCTCCAACTGGTATTATTTTCTCTAAACCTACCTACTCTACGAAGAAGAACGACTATCGTATCCTCGATGATCTCAGAAATGGAGCCATGGCCGTCGTCTACAGAGCCTTATGCATTCCCAAGAACGAGCACGTGGCCATCAAGATCATCGATGGCGATTTCATCGAGAAGAACCTTGACGTCCTCCCCGTGGCCAGCGGCAACATTCTGATTCCCGATCATCCCAACTTCCTCAAACATCACTGCAACATCACCGTCGGGAACAAGCTTTGGATCGTCATGCCCTACATCGCCGGCGCATCGTTAATGTCGTTATAACGTCCGCGTTCGACTTCGGTCTGTACCAGGAAATCATTGCTCCAATACTTTACGGAGTTTTGCCGGCAATGCAACTGTACATTGCGAAGGATTTGTTCATAAGGGCATCAAGCCTGGGAACATTTTTCTGGACGAGAAGGGGAATGTTTTTATTGATATGTTTTGAATCTAGTTTGTCACTTTGCTGAGTTTTTCACGTGATCTCGTTGACCGGTCAGCAAGGCGAGGGGTAAGGGGTCCCCTTGCCTGGATCCGGGGGCGCGGAGTGGCCCCCAGACAACGGTATAGATTATTGGGTTTTGAAGTTGGTATTCGGCTGAGCTTGTCTGATGTATTCTCCTAATTTATTTAAATTAGCTTAGAAATACAAAATCTGTAATATAATATCTAAGATTGCCGTCGGGAATAAATCTGTTCTCTATTTCTATTCATACATTGTTGGTGAGCCACGTAAATCTGTGTTTTTTTTATTCGATCATTTTTGTCTAATTTCAAAGCTTCCTCGTGGAATTATGATAAGGAATTGCTGTGTGATGTTTCCGGTACTTTGTCGACGTTGTTTCCGGTGATCTCTCCGCCTTATTGGGTGGCGCCGGTGGCAGTCAGGGGTAAATTCAGCGATAAAGCCGATGTTTATTCTTTCGGCATTGTAGCTATGGAAGTGTTCTTGGGACGGCCTCCGGTGTTGGTGTTTCCGGAGTCGAATTACTTGGGCAAGAAAATTGCGAAGCGTTTTCAATACTCTGATCATTTTAGGAATTCGAAAGCAAGTATGAAGAAGTGTCCCGACGAACTTTGGGACCTTATTAACGACTGCCTTTGCCGGGATCCCATGGAAAGGCCCAATTCTACGACGTTGCTGTCGCATCCATTCTTTGAAATGAAGGGCAGTGGGATTGAGTATTTGGCCAAGAATTTGAACGAGGGATTGCCCGATGTTAAAGAAAGGTTTAGGATGATGAAACCGTTCCCTTTCTCGTCGAATTCTGGTGACGAAAGTTCGATGCAGAGGCCGATTTTGGGGTGGAAATTGAGCTCGGAAAGGTGTGAATTGGATCCTATTTTCTCTGCAGAGAGTGTGTTAATGGAGACGACGATGATGGGGTTGCGGGGAAGTGTGAATGTGGGAAATGTGACTTTTGTTAATATCGGCGAGAAAATTGCAAAAATTATCCAACGTATATACCCCATTATCACTTTTGTCTTATATTTACTTTATTGGTTAAAATATATCCTACATGTTTGCAAAAGTCAGCTATTTCTATTCTTTGGCCGCGCGTGACCACGTATGGCTTTCCGATTGGAAGGCATATAAAGACTGTAATGGCGTTGGAAGAAAAGCTCGCGAAGTTCAGAGACATGCTGGAGAGAATTGTGTATAACTTTAAGTGGTAGCATAATAATGCAGGGACAATGGAAAGCGAAACTGAAAGAGCGGTGGCGGAACTGGTGAAGGAAATGAAGATTGAGGAATTAATGGAGACTGAGGAGACGGAAGCAGTGGAGGAATTTGCAATGGAGTTGCAGAAGGAGGATGAGAAAGGGAAGAAGAAGAATTAGAAGGAGATTGTGATTGAAGAAGACGAAGGTAGAGAGGACACACTAAAATTAATCCAACAATCTAATGCATTTTTCTCTCCTTTTTATTTTCCCCATACTATGAGCTCATCCTTTACTTGACAAATTATTTATTTTCATTTGCCTCTTTTGTGTTCTTAATTTCCAGCATATTTTCAATATTATTTTCAGCTCAATCCGTTTATTAATTTCTCGTATTTTCTCTTCAATTCTAGTAATTAAATTCCCAGGAACTAGTTATCTGGATCATTCATCCATTTCTCAAAAGATTTACATAGTTCTTAAAGAAGCCAAAAAGAACCCATTTTATCTTCAACCAGATAAGCTCGGCAATCCGCCAAAAATATATTTTTTAAGATATCTTTGTCCTTCATCCATTTCTTGATCCATTGACGCAACTACACAGCCGAAGTTCGGATGATTCGATGGCGTTGAAAGCTGGTACCACTGCCAAAGACAAGGGTCGAAATGATGAACAAATACCTACACATCATCGTCAAGTTCACGTATTTACCATCTTCATTTACAAATAATCCTCCTTTTGAACTGTTATAAGTGATCTTAAGGACTGTACTGATGAGGTAGAAGATCAAGAAAGAAAAGCCCCCACCGATGCTTCTGACCAGAGATATCGATGAGGCCTCTTCCAGAAGCCTACCAAAACCGACAGTGTCTGAACTTCTGGCGTAGTTACTACAAGAAAATGTCTAATTAGTTACAATATTTTTAACTACGAAATAATTTTGTAGTTAAAATGTGTCATTCAGCGAGAAAAAATAATTTTGTCGCGAAAAATAAATTATGTACTATAAAATTAACTATTTGGCTAAAAAAGTTATGTATGTTTTGTTGCTAAAATTCTTTTGTTATGAAAGTCAAATTTGTTGCCGAAGACCTTTACTAACACGGTATAGGTAATGAAACTCATTTCGTCGTAAAAACCTTTTTACTAGGAATTCATTAAATTCTGCTACAAAATTTTTTATAGTTAAATTTCAACTATCTTGTAGTGCGTCTCCTCTCTGTAGTTTTGATCAAGTCATCCTTCTTTACAAGGGACAAGATATCGATGATTCGAAGACCTGTCCTACGACTGCTGGAGGATTCCAACATTCGGATACGACATCAAAAGCACCAGAGAATGCCGAGCAGCCCTCACAGAAGTGCTACAACACAAATTTTCTCCGTTCTCGTCTGCATCAGTAGGCCTTATGAGAGTTAATGAGCCCACTGCTACTTATAAGACAAGAATTTCAGTTATGTTCGGGTGTGTTTCTTATGATTTGGTTTGAAAATTTTTTATTTGAATTTTTTATCAAAATAATATTTGAGAATATTTTCTGAAAAAAAAAATATATAATTTTTTCAAAATTGCATAATTTAAATAGTAAAATTTGAAAGTTTAGTTAAAAAAAGAAACACATGTTTGTGTTGAATTGGATATATCTAAGCCAAACAAACGGCCCATAATTCAAAACAACGAAAGAAACAAATCTCAACATTATTTTCGATTGCTAAACCCTTAAAATAAATAAATAATACAAAAATAATTTTAGAAAAGTCAAAAAAAAAAAAAAAAAACATCAAATACTCAAAGTCAAAAAATCAAATATTAATTTAAATAATATATTTTATACTTTTTAACACAAGTCTCGATACCATACACAAAAGAATCAATTTATGGACCATTATGTTGTCAACTTATGTTCCCAATTTGGTCCCAATCTAATAAAACCTCATAAAAGAATAATTATATAAATCAATTAGCATCGAATAAACCAAAATGAAAGGCTAAAATTCTCAATAAAAAAAAAAAAAAAGAGAGATAAAATTTCAAATATTATAATCTCAAGATAACAAGCAAATTAAATTAATTATTATGTCAAAAATCTCATCATCCGTACACATTATTCTAAAAACTGAAAAAACAAATTATTTAATCTCTCAAATTTAAACAAAAAAGTCTACCAAAGATAAATTTGGTAAACAGATAAGAAAAAACAATGCCAATAATACTAGAGTCCAATTAAACAAAATCATACAAACCCAATTCGAAATACAAAATAAAATCATCAAAGGAAAAAATCCATAATTGAGCAATAAATTTGGGAAGAACAATTAATCACACATTTCCACTATTAGCAACAATTTTGCCTAAAATTAAATTTACAAATCTTAAATTCATAATATTATTAATCCATCCTCCCTATAAAATGAGAGCCCATCGCCCCAAAAAAAAAAAATATATATATATATATATATCAACAAGCAATCAATCTAATATTTCTTAGTTAATAAAAATTCTCTAACAATGTCTAGTGTATATTGTGTTCTTCTTCTTCTTGCATTATGTCTTCTTACAATGACACCATCCCGTGTTCATTGTTTACCAGAAGAAGACGAATACGAATCGACTCAAATGATGAAGGATGACAATGACTTGTGGGCAGGTATCAATTCTTTTATGGACACTTCTGAGTATCGTCGCAAGCGCCGTGCTCCTTCACCTAGTGGCCGCCGGGCACCTCGTCCTCAGCACGGTGGGCGCCGTAGTCCTCGCAATGGCCCCCGTGGTGGTCCCCGCGGTGCTCCTCGACCATCACCTCAACCATCGACTATTTAAAAGAGAAAAAATTGCTATTTTTGTTATGAAGTCCATTCATGTAATAAGTGTGCGGGCATTTCGTACAATGAAAATTATGACTTTTTCCGATAATAAAAATAACATATATAAATTTCACTTAATCAATTTGTCACTAATAATCTATTTATAGTAAATAATTTCACTTTCTTATAATACTTATACTTTACTTTTTCTAGATATCTCACTTTAACTTTAAATATTATTACTTCTTAATCTTCCAACCAAACCTATATAATTTTACAGGATGGATAGAGTAGTATTTATCTTTATATGATCTAATTGCAATTAACTAAAATTTTGATGTAAAAATTATATATTCCCTCAATTTCAATATATTTATTATTAGTTCTAAATTAGGACGTCTGAAAATATTTTTAACTTTTTTTTTATTTATATTCAATATTTCTCTTTTGCCTTTATAATTATAACTTATAAAGTCATTTCAAAAAAAAAAACTATGATATAATGATGAAAATATTAACAATTATAACATATATTTACTAACGCAAATGTAAGTATAATGTCAACTGACAAAACATATATTAGTTCACATCATACATATATATTACAATTAATCTTAATATTAAAAATATATTAACATATCATATATGCACGCATAGTATGAAGAGCCACCCAAGTCCAGTGACGGAATCAGCCTCCGAACATTGGGAGGGCGGGATTGTCCGGTCAATTGATTTTTTATAATTTAATTTTAATTTTACATTTTTCGAACTGTCATTTTTCGGTTCGAGCCGACAATTCAGTTTTTTTATATAAAAAAAAGTAAAAAATATAGAAACATGAAATAATATAAAATTTTATACTTAAAAAATAAAAATAAAATCCTTTTAGACCTGAAGACAATCTATTTAAATTATATAAAATAAATAAAATCGAGAGGCCGGGCATGCCTGTTGAGCTGCCTCCAAGCATCTTAATAGATCCCTCCATGCCCAAGTCCAAAAATATTGTTTTGTGTTCAAATATAATAAAGTTATATATTCAAAAAAAAAAAAAACTGTATTAATTTGCCCCCTCTTCTCTTTCTCAAATAATTAAATTTATGTAGTTTTGTTGTTTTGTCCACCTAATCTTTTTCCAGTTCATTTCTCTCGACGAATTTTCTGCTATGCTAACTTTTCAGGGATACAAAATATTCTTTCTAAGGCTTTCTAGAGTACTCTAAAGATCTCTTAACCCATATTTTGATCGATTTTTGTAAGGCGTCAAATTTGAAAATTCCAAATTTCTGGATATAACCGTGACTTTTGGAAAAAAATATTTAAATATAATAAAATTAAAAGTACTTTTAAACTATCATATTTAACAAAATATTAAAAAATAAAAGTGGGCATATCCTCCATAAAACCAGCTTCAATTAGAACTTGGAAGAGTGCCATTGATTCTCTTGCGAAATCAGGAGATGGCGCCAAAACTTGAGATAAAACGACAGACTGAAGAACGCCGGGGAATGCAGACGGAAGGAGGGCCAAATTGACGGAAAGTTCTACGTCAGAAATTGGAGGCTCCGCCTGAGTGTAGACAGCGGCGGCGGTGTCCACCGATGTAGTCAAGGAGAATCTGTCGCATCTTCACCATTGTTGGTTGACGAGAGTTTGTAGATAAATAATTAAATGATATTGTATCTTAAAAACTTAAGCTTTTAAGTGAGTCGGTCATTTATATCACTTAATATGGTATTAGAGCCACGGACAAGTTTAGTTTAGTGTTGTTTTTCCCCGGAGTCCGTAAGGGGGCGTGTTGGTTGACTTCTATTTGTAGATAAATAATTAAATGATGTTGTATCATTAATAGCATTGATTGACTTCCGTTTGTAGATACATAATTAAATGATGTCGTATCATTAACAACTTTGGTTGACTTCCGTTTGTAGATAAATAATTAAATGATACCGTATCATTAACAGCTTTGATTGACTTCCGTTTGTAGATAAATAATTGAATGATCCGCTGCGTGGGGGCTCAGAGAGGTCATCGCTGGCATGGCGGCCTGCTGGAGAAGGCCGACCAGCTTCTTGTTTGGCCCTGACCTCGAGGCAATCCTGCCGGAAGGAGATGGCTGACGCCGGCAACAGCTGCTGCAACGATTAGATACAAAATATGAATTTTTTGGATGGTACACGGCTGTGTGTTGGGAGAGAATGTTACTAATATACTTACACACCATGTTTAATTCGAGTCACGCTATAAAAAAAGTTAAAATTTAGTTACAAAAATATTTTGTCGTAAAATATAATAATTCATAGAAAAAATATTTTTGCGACGAAACTTATTTCGTGGCTTATATCGCGTTAGTGAAGGTCTTCGGCGACAAATAT